CTCATTCAGGTCCTCCCCGTCAAAGAACGCCAGTTCGCCAATCGGGAAGTCCGGGCGGTGTTGCAACACCTTCCCACGGATCTCGTTGTAGATCTCCGTGGTTACATTTGCAGACGCCACCACCACCACGGCGTCCTGAAACGCAGCCGAGCCAACAAACCATTCCGCCCCTTGAGCCCGGGCGACGCTGACAGAACGTGCATGGGAAGCCTTCAGCTCGTTCAGCGCTTCCCCGGCAGCAGCAAGGTTTCTATCCGCCTCGGCGACCTGGCGCCTAAGGGAGCTCAGCTCGTGCTGAGCGCGGTCCCTGTCGGCCTTAGCCTTCTTTGCGCTTTCCTCAACCCTGGCGGCCTTGTCCTTCGCCGCCTAGATCCCGCTCTCTTTTTTAGCTCGAGCGCGCTCCAGCTCCTCCCTGAGCTCATTGTTCATGTTGGCGAGCTCATCCACTCGGCTCTCTGCAGCCGCTGCCCGGTTCGCCATTTCAGAGCCTTGCAGATGATTCACATAGTCCACAAGGCTAGCCTTCTCAGCAGCCAGTTGTTTGCATTTTGAACCGAGCTCGCTGTTCTGCGTACGAGCCTCCTGCTCGCTCTCGTAAAGCGCTACAACGTAGCTGAATGCCTACCAAACAGCAACAATAGTGAGTACCTAGTAAGGAAAAATAAAACACGTAAGTAAGCAAGCACGAGTAAAGACTTACATCCATCAATTTGATCATGGCGACCTGGCCGCCATGCTGCTGCACAAAAGCCTTAGCCCGCCGACTATCCGACGGGGGCACGAAGTTGTGCATAGCTTGAACCATGGCGGGTTGGCACTCCGCCCGCACATAAGAAAAGCCCTCAGGATAAGCGATCCTGGGGCCCGACGTTGAAGCTGAAGCAGAGATGGGCTCTGCTACTGCCCGCGCAATGGCTGGCGGTGCAGTAGGTGAACGCACCGTTGCAGGATGGGCCACCTGCACAGGCTGAATTCCCCCGCTTATTCTGCGCCGAGCAAGGGGAATCTCATCTTCCTCGCTCTCGGTCCCCTCCCGTGCACGCCTACGTGCATTCGGAGCTGCAACCTTAGCTCTTTGATCCGCTCATGGCCGTGATGTCGAGCTGGATCCCCGGTGTGACGAGCTGCGTGATAGAGGCGCTGGTGGTGGCCGCTCGTCGAACCGCGTTTGCCTTTGTTGCCCGCTGCTCGCCCCGCGGCCTCGTGAGCTCTGGGCTCGCTGACGTTGGCGCTTCAAGATGCTGCTCATTTCTCCTGCACAAAAAAACGTATAAGACTCAGCCCGACTAGAATTAGTACCATTTAATAAAAGTATACCTTCTGTGAACAGGTTTGCCACGTCGACAAACCCGAACACGGTGAGCTGCTCCGAGGTAACCAGGGCTTCTAGATCTATCAGACCCTCCCTCTTCGCATACTCAAGCAACTGGTTCTTTAGATCTACATCCCGGGGCAGCAGCTATGGGTAGTTGATGTGAGTGTTTGGCGTGCGCCATTCTGACAGCCGGGCAGCGAGGTCGTTGCTTATCCTCTCTGTTCGCGTGCCGCGAACAAATATGAATTGCCTCTTCCACCTCGCCACTTTATTCCGGACATTCTTGAACAACTGGCTTTTGTCTCTCCCGGAGAGGTAGTACCACTTCGCGCCTCGGGAGTTAGGACACAGCCGGCATTGAAACAGCGACTTGAACACGATCGCCTTGGCAGGTACCTCTAATCGCTCACACAACAGCATAAAGCCAATAATGAACCTTATGCTGTTGGGAGTTAGCTGCGTCAGCGCTAGCTCGTAATCCGCCAGAAGGTCGACACCAATCCGGGCAGGGGAAACCGCAGGCCGGCATCAAAGTGGTCCACATATACGGGGATCCAGCCCGTTTGCGACACTGTGCACGCCCTTTCGTTCTGCCCGCCAGTCCGCAGCAATATGGTCTTGGGGATGTGGTACGCCATCACCATCTCTTCCAGTCGTTTATACCCACTTATGGAGGGCGCACAATCTGCTACTTCGTGATGAAGTACAGCCTTGAACATGAATCTAGCGGGCAGGTCCTTCGGTGCTTTTCGTAGGCTACTCAACCTACCCGGGATTGTCACGCCTTCCCATTCCCCAATCACCGGTCGATCTGAGACACTGCTCACCACATCCCCCATTCCTTCTTCACGGCTGGGTGTCTCTTCAGTAGACGAGCTGCTAGATGACGTAGTAGCATGGTCGCCACCATCATCCCTCGCACTCGAACTGGTGCTTCTCTCAGGCGCCATCGTTTTCGGCGAGTCCTGCAACTCAAGCGGCACTATCATCGTGATAGGCTCCACTGACAAAATCCCTTCCTCTTCTCCCTCTCTGCCCTGGTTACCTCGTTGCCCTGTAAGTTCTCTCAATGAAACCATTTTACCTGAAAGTATTGCGAAGTTGATTCGGCGTAATGAGTCTTCAAGCTGGAGCGTTTCGCTGGAGAGAATTCTGGAAAGTTCAAGCAAACACAGAAATGAAAATGGAAAAGGAAACAGTTACGCAGAGAAGGATATGGCAGTGTTCATTGCCGTACGCGTGTTTCTGACGCGCCAACTAGCGTTCCACACATGGCAGGCGCTTAACGCCCTTCCTGCATAACGTGCGCCGGCTTTAGTTGTCACGTCCCTCAAATGCTAAGCCAGCATTTATGACGGGAAAGGCAGAGAGATATGGGAAGTTCAGTCGTATCTCCTCAGATATTTGCTTGACTAAAAAATCCCAAGATTCAGATCGTAACTACTGATGTGTACCCTATACTGTCACGTCAGCTCACCATTGCGAGCACACCTACCAGGTCGTTACAAAGATGACATATTCGCCAGATCGGCTCAGCCATGCCAGTTCGTTCACAAGTGTAGACCATTTACTAAAATCCCCCTAGATTCAGCTCGTCACATATCGTGACAATGGATTGCAGCTCACACCAGGCCGCAAACCTTTGCATAAATCAATGGATGCCTGAGGTCGCCCTATTTGACAGCACTACTCGTGCGAGCTGATAAAGTGGTGGTCTAAAACCTCAAGTCGCACTGCATGCGGGGTCGCGTCGCCTCACCTCGTAATCATAGCTAACTGAGCGTCACCTGGTCGCACTTCGGTAGTACTCAAAGGTCAGGTCGCCACATGGACGAGCTGAAACAGGGTTATATACATGGCTGATCCCTATGTGAGCTCGGCTATCACAAGCCCACACTTGTGCTACTAAGGATATCAACTCGCCTCCACGCTTTTAGACTCGCGAGCTCGCCTCTTTTTGTATTACCTCTCAACTCGGCCATCACCAAGGTCGGCCGTAAGCTGTTAAAACTGCCCGTCATAGTCACCAGCTAGAACGTTGACCCACAGTCACATATTTTACTTCGGCTTCGGTCATAGTGACCCAGCGTCACACTTTTTACTTCGACTCAGGCCACAGTGACCCAGTGTCACATGCTTCACTTCGGCTCCGGCCATAGTGACCCCGAGTCACCTATTTCACTTCAGCTACGGCTATAACACATGACTCTGTGTCATGCATTTTTACCTCAGTTATGGCCCAAAACACATGCACCGAGCTCGTCTGGTTTTAACACCAGCTCCCCCACGCCTGCTCGATAGGAAGCCGGCATACACATGCACAACAGAATTGGCAGCGATGGCTTCAGGCCGTCTAGATCGGTCATGCGTGAGGGCGGACACGAACATAAAACATCACTCCTCATCCTCAGGGTCAAACACCGTGCTAAGAAGACTCCCAACCTAGTTCGTCAACCGAACGCCGAGGGGGGAGTAATGTTGGGATTAGGCCCAACGCCCTCTTAGGGCCACATGCAGCAGGCCCAATTACGCACCCACAGGCCCAAGAGGAGGAGACATACCCACGTGGGCAGCACCACGTGGACCAATGAGAGGCTTACATGTGCAGATACATGTCAGCACTTGGGGTTATAAATACCCCCCAACCACCTCCGAAGAAGGTAATTAATCTCTACGCTTCTCTCTCTGCAATTACTCCTTGAGAGCATCTCTCTCTAGAATATTGAGTATTGCTGACTTGAGCATCGGAGTGTTTTCCCTGAGGAAACAACCTCGAGATTTTCAGGTGTAGAAGCAGCTGAGGACTTCAACAGTGTTGGACTACGTAGCTGCCGAAACAGTTACCAAATTATCATTGACTTGTTACATGACAAGCATGCAACATAATATTTTGTCTGGAATCCTCAATGCTTAAATATGAAGGCTTTTCTTTATTTTGTAAGGGTTCCATGTGTGAAGAAAGGTGGGATCAGATTCACCATCAATGGCCATTCGTACTTCAACCTGGTGCTGATAACCAATGTGGGCGGAGTAGGAGATATCACGGCGGTGTCCATCAAGGGATCTCGAACAGGGTGGCATCCAGGAACTGGGGCCAAAACTTGCAGTGCAATTCCTACCTTAACGGCCAAGGCCTCTCCTTCAAAATCACTACCAGTGATGGCCGGATAATGACCCAGCACAATGTTGTCCATGCTGGCTGGCAATTTGGACAGACTTTTGAAGGATACCAATTCTAGAAAAATCTCCGGAATCGATTGATTTGGAAGATTTGAGACACATGAGGAGTTTACGCTGAGGTAGCAACGCGGTACCCGCTAGGCTTTGTGTGAAATCAGTATATAAATTAAACACCAAAATTTGTGTGTGGGTGATTAAAAATAAGTCAATTGTTTGAATATGGTAACATGGTCTTTTTTTTAAATTTATTTTAAATTTGTACTAAGCTAATTAAGGGGTTAATTCCCAAATTATAAGTTAATATGATTTCCTATTACCAAGAAAAAGCGAAAGTTCCATTTGTTTATAGCTCAATTAGTAATTTAGATGTTTTGCTGTGTGATTGATATCTAGATTAGAGAAGGTAAAATTTCATGTAAAACTCTTGAATAGATTTTGTATTTTTAATTGAGCTTACGGATCCTTTTTAAAGTAGATAAGTACCTAAATTCTACAATCTTTAATTGCGACAGTTTGCATTAAAAAAGTATTTGTAACGACTCTTATTGCCATAATTTGCGCTGAAAAAAAGCGTCGCAATTAAGAGTTTTGCTTTTTTCTTTTCTTTTCTTTTTTTTGTTGGTAGTGTTCGCTATCAAAATTCACAAGGCAGCGGAAAGCTAACTATAGCTTTAATTCTCAATTATTGTAAACCTAACAGATCTTAGCAGTTTTCAAAGAAATCTTACGACGGTTGTTATACTTTGTAGCATCTAAACTGTCTTTTTTTTTTCTTTTTTTTTTCTAACATGTAGAACTACGAGAAATGGAGAATTTTTGTAAATAATTAATAAAAATTAAATCTTTGATTAATTAAATCTAAATATTAAGATTTGAGAACAAATCATTAAACTCAAAGATTAAATACATAAACTGTAAATTCTAAATAAGTCTTTTCCTTTACAAACACAATGATATCTTGAATAAGTTTATCTGCATGTAATCTACTGCGTATTT